AAGTCATTCTATTCGAATTCTACGCAGCTTTTTACTTTTAGGCTTTTTATTGTGTTCTACCGAAAGTGTGACATATTCTCACCTTACACTCATAATTGAGAGTAGTGAAAATTTCTATTAATCAAAAAAATGAGTTTACCAAACGTTTTAGTTAGAAATATGCACTGTCAAAATGCAGAAAGTCCAGTCAAACAAGAAAAAGAAGAAGAGAGAAACGAAACTACAAGTCCTACGACGGTTTTAAGTTCATTAAATACAAAAAATACTACAATGGCATTACGAAGATTATATCAAACAAAACAGACCGGTACTGTAAGATTATATTTAGTTCGACATGGTGAACGTCTTGATGAAGTTCCTGGTAATACATTTTATAAGAATTGTGGTGAACAGTGGTATGATCCCCCATTAACTGAAATGGGTAAAAGACAGGCTTATTATACTGCGACATATTTGAAAAGTATTTTACAAAATTTACCTCCAGTTTTATATGTTAGTCCTTTATCACGGACTGTACAGACTGCCGTCGAAATAGCTAATTATTTAAATAGTTTCATTGAATTAGTAGCAGGACTAGCGCACTGTGCAGCAGCATTTCAATCAGGTGGTGTTTTATTACAGCAATCATCTTTTTTATCCGAATCAGACATTGTTACATTATGTCCAACCATTAAATTAGGTGAATATGAGTGGATTGACACTGATACATTTATGGATTGTATAATTAGATTATGTGTAATATCAGGAGCAAATAGCGAAGTAGTATGTGTTACACACCGTGAAGGCATACGTGATTTAAGTAAAAGTAACTTATGTGTGAGTGGTAAAAAAATACAGTATACACCATATTGTTGTATAGCAAAATTTACATACAACTTAGAAACTAAAACATTTCAAAGTCATGGAATCATCGGAGATAATAAAGAAATCTATTCATAGAATAATCTTTATGTAATTTTTATTCGAGTTTATTGTTTTCGAGTGAATAACTTAGAAACACGATACAAAAACAGAAAATAGGTAATTCATTTCGCGGTTTTATTGTTATTTCATTTTTTTCGTCTTATTCTCATCACATTACAGAAATAGTAAATCAAGAATGCCGAAATGACATATCTTCACTATCTTAGTTACAGAAAAGGTCCAACCTTGAAAAATCGGACTGAGTTCAGATACATTATAATATTGTTACTAAGAGGATAGAGGACCATCTGAAAAGATCAAATCATCAAAGGTTTTGATTCTGCTAGACACATATAATCGAAGGGTAGATGAGGAAAAAGTTAGAGAAAGGCGGTATCGATGGTCGCGCGCATACTAAGAACTAGTCCAAGTATTCAAGGATTGGGACTAAAGTTGCTGTCACTTTCAAAATTACCATACTGTAGGCACAGCAGGCATCCACTTAGACATTTAGCGAAACAACAAGAATGTCTACACTATTCCCAGAAATAGTTTTAATCGCTTTCTAATGATGAGAAGACATTTTTAGCTAAAAAATGATATCAAAGTCTCAAGGTATGAGCAAATTCAGTTTTTGGGCAGGAAAACGGAATGTGCAAAAGACAGAAATTGAGTCTGAAAATTGATAAACCTATGAATTATGAACAAACGTTTTGTGTAATAATAATCTCAAAATAAGAGTGCCTTGTAGGAATTGAACGTTTGTACCTGAAGTGACAATATGGAAAGACGTGTTCTTAAAATAGCTCTTTTTCTCGATTGTTTGTTCGATTTACTATTAAGTTCATATTTTTAGATCTTAGGATACATTTTTGCTCAGAAACGTGAGCTATTCCTACTGGTGCTTTCACCACTGGTTTTGTTTTAAATATTAATTTTTCTCTTGCTAAATATTATTATTATTATTTC